TTTTAAGGCCCGGCTTGACAAAGCCCTGGCTGCGATGATTTAGTTGGGAATTGATCCTGCTTTGAGCAGGGGGTTGGACTAGATGACCTCCTGAGGTCCCTTCCAACCCTGATATTCTATGAAAAACAAATCTGATTTTAAAAAACTTGAATGTTTAACTAAATTCAAAAATTCATATGCTTGTTTTGTTAAAATATTATATGTTTGTTGAAAAAAATCCAGAATACATAAAGTTGTTGTTTAGTTAAATAAAACAATTTAAATGTCTGTCAGGTGATGTTCTCCTCTTAATACAGCATGGCAAGAAAATCCTCTAAATATTAATGATTAACCTATTGAATTGGAGATAGTTCACCTCCCCATGACTTCATAAATATCTGCTTCAATTACCTTTGGTAAATGAAATAACCAAACAATCATTCATTTTTTTGATGTAGCTGTAAAATTAACCTGAAAAGTTTTCAAAATAAATCACTTTAAAAATGTATAGTGTGTACCTTCTAAAAATGAAACCTACATCTATTTCTGAGTTGTGAAGAACATGTATTAAGGTTATAACAACAAACAAGAATGCACTTTTAAGTAGAAATCCATGATTAAATAGAGTCTTTCTGACTAGTGATTTAACAAATCCACCCTGCTGTCTAGTGACTTAATCCCTCTGAGTCCCGTCTGCATTTTTTTCCTCTAAATACTTCACTGGCTGCAGAGAACAATACATTCCCATCAGGTAGATGAGGAGGGATGGAAGAAAGTTTGCTGTTGATCAACAGAGGATATGTGAGAGTAACTGCCTTTGAATGGAGTCAAATAGCAAAAATCCAATGTTAAGTTTTTAATTTTGCAGGATATGGAGAATGGCTACCATTGCCTATGCCCCCCTGGATACTATGGTGCTCACTGTGAACATAGTGCCTTGACTTGTGTTGACTCACCTTGTTTTAATGGTGGCACATGCTTGGAAAAGGACCAAGGGGCCAGCTACACTTGCCGTTGCCCTCTCGGCTTTACAGGATCTAACTGTGAAAAGAAAGTGGATAGGTGCACAAGCAACCCTTGTGCAAATGGTAAGTCTTCCAATCAGGAGATCCTATGTATCTCTTGATCCTTCACACTTTCAGTGCTAAAGTGATGGAAATCTTTAATTTGATCTCTGGCCCTTCCTCTGTGTTATCAGCCTACCTCTCTGATTATATATTCACTTCCTATCCTGGCCTCTCAGAAGGAACCAACATTGTTATGCTGTACGTAAATTACCAGTGCATTAGAGATTGCAGGATATTTATCAAGGGAAGGAGGAAAGGGGAGAAGTGTGCAGACTAAATTAAACTACCTATATATTAAAGGGACAAGGTGGGTGAGGTAATATCTTGTATTGGACTAACTTCTTTTGGTGAGAGAGATTTTTGTCACCCACCTTATCTCTCTATTATCCTGGGACCAACATGGATACAACAACATTGCATACATTATATTAAAAGGACCTGATTATAAATCATAATAGCTTGATTAGGCAACTTGTAGAGCTTTCAAAATATGCATGTTGTGTTTATATAAAACTATTTCCCGCCTGTTGCAGTAATAGGAATTGCTTACCGAGGAAGTGACTTAGTGTTCAGGATGACGTCCATTGCTGACTAAACTTTTTATTGTATTTTTTTCCAGGTGGTCATTGCTTTGATTTGGGTCAACTCCGTGTGTGTCGCTGCCGTGCTGGTTTCTCTGGTCAGAAGTGTGAGATAAACATCAACGAGTGTGCCAGGAATCCATGTTCCAATGGGGGCTCTTGTCATGACCTGATCAATGACTATACCTGCACCTGCTTGCCAGGCTACACTGGCAGGAACTGTGACATTAAAACCAGAGATGAATGTGCTTCTGGGCCATGCCAGAATGGGGCCACGTGCTATGATGGACTTTATAATGCTAACTTTCTTTGTAACTGTCCTTATGGCTTCATGGGCAGCCGTTGTGAGTTCCCGGTTTATACAGTGCCCGTTCCATATCCTCCTAAACCTGTTCCCTGGATAGCTATATCCATGGGTGTGGGACTGGTGGCTTTGCTTGTATTATTCTGCATGATAGCTATGGTCATCAGACAGATGCGGCGGCACCCAGAGCAGGACTTGGAGACAATGAACAATCTGTCTGATTTCCAGAAGGACAACCTTATTCCAGCTTCCCAGCTCAAAAACACCAATAAAAATAAAGACCTAGAGGTGGACTGTGGGCTGGAAAAATCAAACTACAAACCTAAGAACCATATATTGGACTATAACCTGGTAAAGGATCTGCCAAGCAGAGGAACACAGGAAGATAAATATTATAAAAGTGAAAAGTGTTTAGGAGAGAAGCCTCCCCTCCGATTATACAGGTAAGAGTGCAGTTTCCCCCCGTAATTGTTAAGCCACATCTGTCCAAGGTGCATATGAGAGAAAAGGCAGTTTTTCATTCAGGGAGCAGAAGTGTGGGGGGGAAATAGATGATAGGTGGGGAATCTTCAGATTGGAGCATGAGTTTCACTGTCCCTGTCAATTAAACTCTGTTTCTGCCCAGGATGCAGCCAGCATGGGTAATGGAGGGGATTGGCAGTCAGTCCACTCGTGAAAATAAGTAGAGTCTTTCCTTCCCAACTAGATGATGGAGAGACAAGAACAGATCTATACTGAGATTAAAAATAATTATTTCAGATCTTAATAAAGCAAAGATTTAGGACAGCCTTCCCAAGAACATCCTGTTTTGTGGGAGTCGGGGGGTTGGAATAAGAGCCATATTCCAGCCAAAGAGAGAAAAAGATGGGTTTCCATTGGTTCAGTCTTTTGATATAGGTACAAATCTCTCACTTGGATTTCACATGTGATTTAAATGCTGCATTGTAATGCTGACATTGCAGGAAATGAAAAGGGACAGGAGATGGAGCTGAGTAGTAAATTATTAGACAGGGCACGGTGGAAGTGTAGCAGGACAGTACTGAATCCTCTTTTCAATTGTAACCTCCTGCTCATTGTAGAGAACACCTGAAACAAAGATTGTTACTTGATTCAGGGTATTACCTCATCTTTTTACCCATCTTCCCCTTCCCATTCATCCAGGGCCGGCTCCAGGGTTTTGGCCGCCCCAAGCAGTCTCCCCCCCCCCCCCCCCCCCAAAAAAAAGCCGTGATCGCGATCTGCAGCGGCAATTCGGCAGAAGGTCCTTCGCTCGGAGCGGGAGTGAGGGACCGTCCGCCGAATTGCCGCCGAATAGCTGGACCTGCCGCCCCTCTCTGGAGTGGCCGCCCTAAGCACCTACTTGCCAAGGTGGTGCCTGGAGCCGGCCCTGATCATTCATCCTCTACCTTCCCATTTCTCCTATGGATATTTCTAGAAGACCTTTATAAGGGATTTTATTATCTTCATAGTCCTTAGATTTTTACTTTGTCTCTGTGTCTCCCTTAGTGAAAAGCCAGAATGTAGGATATCAGCAATATGCTCTCCAAGGGATTCTATGTACCAGTCTGTCTTTGTGATAACAGAGGAGCGGAACGAGTGCGTCATAGCCACAGAGGTAAGTGCACAGTTCCCTAAGACTCTACCTAGGCAGTCATTGATTCAGAGTGACAGGGCAAGTCATCTTTCAGAACTGAAGTCTGAGAGGGTGGCAGTTGTATTGCAGGGATTTCAAGCACCCTCTGCTTTTCATCTATACTATGATCAAAGGCTATGATTGGTGGACCATCAGTGGTACATAGAACTCTTTCTGGTGGCCCACAGGAGCACCAGAACAAACAGAAAATCCAGAGGGGAGATATAGGAAGTAGTCTAACTTATTTCTTTCAGAGGTGCTAAGCTCAGAAGTGAAGTCAATGGGAGCTGAGGGTGCCCAGAACTACTGAAAATCAGATCATAAAAGTTTAATGAGTGGAGGTAGTGGGGCAGTGGTAAATAAGATTACTTTCTTATATACATGGTCCACAAAATAAAAAAGTGATAGATCCTAGACCGTAGACATAAAGCTAGGAGAGTCTCTTCCCCCTTCCCGCCCCCCCCCCCCCCAACAGCAAGAGGACATAAGAGAATAATCCTGGGATGGCATCTGTTCTATGGGAACACAGATATAGCCATGGAGTTCCATCAATAGATGTAAGATAGCTGAATAAGCACCAGTAAGAGTACTGTGAGGCCTGGTCTACACTACTGCTTAAGTCAATGTAAGTCACATCACTCAGGGGTGTGAAAAAAGCACCCCCCTGAGCGACGTAGCTTACATCGATTTAATGCACAGTCTACACCGCACTATGTTGACGGGAAGACGCTCTCCCACCGATTTACTTACCTTCCGCCTCTCGAGGAGGTGGAGTACAGCCATCAACTTATTGCATCTTCAAAAGACCTGCTAAATCGATGCTACTGCAGCATCAATCGCAGCAGTGCCGATTGCGTGTGCCAGTGCAGTCAAGTCAGGGAAGGGCACTTAAATCCCTTGCCACATGGGATCCTGTTATTTGTGTAGATTTTGATGTGTTATCTGAGAGGCCAGGGGACAATACAGAAACCGATCTTTACAGGAAGAGTTCAGCGTGGGGTAGCGTTGAGAATTTAAACAAAAGCTGTTAAGGAACTGAATATTTACTGAGGGACTAACAACCATTTGGAAAAAGGCCCAATGAGAAGTTAAGGGCAATTTAATGCCAACTGGTGGCTTTCTTATCTGAAGAAATACACCTCTACCCCGATATAACGCGACCCGATATAACACAAATTCGGATATAACGCGGTAAAGCAGTGCTCCAAGGGGGCGGGGCTGCGCACTCTGGCGGATCAAAGCAAGTTCGATATAACGCGGTTTCACCTATATCGTGATTTTTTTGGCTCCCGAGGACAGCGTTATATCGGGGTAGAGGTGTACCTTGAACTGAGTTTGCTCTATTTCTACTTTTCTGCCTATGTGCCCAGTTTGGTACAGTAGTTTCAGAGGGCCCAGAGGAGGAGAAATCTGCTGTGGCATTAACACTCAGTACAACAGAATTCTAGCTCCTCTAAGATTCCTACTTAAAAGGCAAGCTGAAAAATAGTGGGAATACAAATCAGATAAAATAGAAAGCTTATGGCTAATGGAAAGAATTTTCAAAGGCACATATGGCAGTTAGGTGCCTAATTCCTACTAACAATCAGTGGGAGTTAGGCCCTACTTGCTATATGTGCCTTTGAAAATCTCCCCTAATGTTTTCAAACCTGGCTGCCTAAAGTTAAGCTCCTAAATCCATATTTGGCATTTAAATAAAAGTGGTCTGGTTTTCAAGAGTGCTGCCTGATGATTTTTAGCACTTTCGAAAGTCGGGTAAATTTGGGTTAGGAAGCCTGAATTTAGGCACCTGGATTTGAAATTTTTGACCTAAATTAACTTGCATTCAAACCAGATAATTCACCTGTAGAAAGTGAGACTACTTGAAATAGGGCAGAGCTGTTAGCTAGTGATTCTCTGACCTGTGGGAGTCAGTGGGACAGCCTCATCCCCTGGGTACTGATTATTAAGCTGCAGAAACCTCTGGCTTAAATTAGTTTGATTTGGATGTACTTGGTTTATTGATTTGCTTGTTTTGTTTTAAATCTACAATATTCTACGCATGGTACCTTCTTCTCAATCCTTTTTAAAATTATTTTATTTCCTGACAGGTATAAGACTGAAGGGTCAGTTTGTATGCACCTCAGATTTGGTGACGCCAGGAGATGGACATTTCTGTTGCATTGTTTACAATTCAGAACTGGATTGGATTTTTTTTTAATTATATGCAACTTGCTGCTCTCAGGAGGAGGCTGGAACTGGGTGAACTGGACAGACTGTGAATTTACCGAAAGATGCAATACACCTTTTTGTTTTTAGTGTCCTTGTTTGACATTTGATACAAGGAATTTAATTGGCTATAGAAAAGGGAGGGGCAGAGGAGAGAAGAATGAAAAAACTGTTGTTTTGACTAGCTTTTTAAATGATATTGAGGCCAGTTCCTCATGGACAGACCTGTGGCTTTCCAAACTCTAACTCTGAGAGATTCCAGTTGGAGCAGAAGGCACTTGACTATCACTTATATGTGCAGATGTTGCCGTGGGAAACACGCATGAAGAAAAAGATACATTGCTATGCAGATATTGGATACAGAATAAATAAGATCTCAATTTTTTTCTTAGGTTTAAAAGTGCCTAAAGCGAGTCAGAATCTAGGGAGCCCAAACAGAGACTTGACTGCCTTCTTTTGCAGTACCTGACCAGTATTGGGCAGGGGTGATTGACACTTCCTGCTGCTCATTTATTTACATCATCTTGGCTCCAGCTGCATTTATTTCAGGCAATTTAACGGGTATGGGGAAGAGGGATACTGAATTTGTTTCTCTCATTTGGTGTTGCTTTGGAGAACTTTGGACTTGAGCAGTAATTTGGGACACAGTTCCATCCCTGAAATGAAAGCGGACTCTCCCAAATTTAAACTGCTGAGAAGGGGGTTGTGTAATGAATGTTTGTTTGCCTCTTTCCCCTCGGTATGAGGAGAGACATAATACCAGCCCTAACTGAAAGCCTTACAAATGCGTTTAAACTCAATCAGCTACTGGAACCTACACATGCTGAGCTATCTCAGCTCTTTTTATGCCCTTTGCACTACCAATGATTGTGAATAGAAGTGAAGTTTTTCTTCTGACCGGCTCTGTTTTTTTTTTTTTTTTTTTTGGCAAGGACTTGGGATTTTGTGTGTTGATTCTGAATCAGGTGCCACCTTCAACTGCAAATAGTCTCAAAGTCCTAGCTGTTACTTTTCAAAGGAGGGGGAGGGGTTTATTTCCCTATCCTTTACTTCCCTATTGTAGAAACGACCTCTCCTCCCCTACACATACAGTCCTTTCACCCCTGTTCCAAATGCGCAACAGAGAAGCAGCATCTGAGAGGCCCTCTTTAAGGTCAGACTCAGAATATAATTTGAAGGCTCTAGGCTTGTCCTCTTTGTTTCACTCCCGCCCACAGCAACAGGGAAATGGGGAAGCTACTCCTTGAATGCAGAGGTGCAGTTCTGAACTGGTAGGTTCAGTGCACATAGACTATCTTATATATACATTTACAGCAATAATATTTGACAGCCAAGTGGAAAGTGCTGTGACATACTGTAGTGATAAGAAAACTGCGAGGTGGGGCGGAATGGGGAGGGAGGAAACAAGATCTCATACAAGGAAACCTGGGACTATGCTATCTACTACTGTTCCTGACCTTGTAAATCCTAGTATTGGACTAGACCATCTGCTGCCTTGAACTGTGCAGGCAAGGTCCTGTCCTAATGTCCACTACTGACCTTCTGCTCTGACCACAGAGATCATTTTGAAGATGACCTTCAGAAATCAATAATATGGATTTTAGTTTGTCTGTTTGTAGTTTATTTTGAAGTCTAGTATTTCAGTAATTTAAAAAATCAGAAGCACTGAACTTTCTACGTTTTATAACATTATTTTGTATATAATGTATATTTATAATCAAACCAGAAGTGTAAATATGTTTATTACTTCTCATGTAATGTTTTTAATGTGATAAAGTTTGAATTTTATTTTTTTTTTCAAACAATGAAAATACCTTCCTGCTACTATGAAGTTTATGTGGTTTGTCTTTTTACCCTCAGATTTCATGATCCTATGATATACAGCAGGGATGGGCAACCTAGGGCATGCGTGCCGAAGGCGGCACGCGAGCTGATTTTCAGTGGCACTCACACTGCCTGGGTCCTGGACGCCAGTCCGGGGGCTCTGCATTTTAATTTAATTTTAAATGAAGTTTCTTAAACATTTTAAAAATCTTATTTACTTTACATACAACAATAGTTTAGTTATATGTTCTAGACATAGAAAAATACCTTCTAAAAATGTTAAAATGTATTACTGGCACATGAAACTTTAAATCAGAGTGAATAAATGAAGACTCGGCACAGCACTTTTGAAAGGTTGCCGACCCCTGATATACAGGGTAACTTCTTGTCCCAGAAGCAAGTTTGACTGTCAGCTCTCCATATCCACCCCAAATTTACATCTTACGCAGACTTGCTGTTATCCCACTTTGACTATTAACTGACATCAGAGAAGTTGTAGTATGGAACTGAGCTGACAGAAAAGTTGCTTTTACTCTAAACTTTTACATCCCTATACAAACTTCTTACAGATTTTATGTGCTTATAAAGTGGCAGAATTAACTCCTTGGTAAGGTTTGCAGTGCACTTACAGGGTAAGAATTAATCACGGTAGGTCAGTAACACATTTCTTTCAGAAACTCCTTGAGTAAGGACCAAATCTTGTCCTCTGCAGTTTATTCTTGCATAGCATCCACAAGTTTGGACTTGTAGAATTTATTCCTGCAAGTTCAATTGAGAGTAGGTTTGTCCCTCCCCTGCAGAGTTTCATGCCCCCTTCTCCCAACAACATCACGGATCGCCTGTGACCTGTATGGTGGGCCTTTGCTTCCAGGTGGTATACTTCCCAGATCCTTCTGCTCCAACAGCATCACTATCCTCTTAGGATATACTAATACCCCAAGGCCCTTTCAGAGGAAGCTTCAGCAAGCAGTGGAGGGAACTTGTGTGAGATAATGCTGACATGGTTAAAGACCTTTGAACATATATATTATTTACATGTAGGCAACTGAATCTCTTACTGTAGCATACAAGTTTGGCAGTAGTGCATCTACTACATGCATAAACAAATTGTAACAGCAGGAACAAGAAAAAGTTGCTCCTCTCTTCGTTACAAGTGCCAAAAAGCATGTTACATATATATTTTAAACAGTCATTTGGAATAAAATGTATGTTTTTAAACTACAATGTCTATTATCACAGAATTTTTACCATTATTAAACCATTGCAAGTAACTCTTGATAAAACAAATACAGAAAGACCCTTAATGTATAGCAATGCTATTATTGAGTGGTTTGATTTGTGTCTCTTACTAAGCAAGGAACTGAAGAGCAGAAGTAGCTTTTAAATCCTACTCAATTTCCTTGGCTACCACTTACAAACATTCAAGATGGAAAACAGAAATAAAAAGCTCTCTCCTATCCCCAAACAAACATTCACCTTGTAGAGCAAATTATGAAAAACAAGCCATTGACAAAAAGCTGAGCAGATGCTCTCGGCTTGCAGCCCTTCCTTGGCAATGTGAAATAAACTCAACAGATGCCTCTCTTAATTGAACACACGGATTACATACACACATGCACGCTGTCCTGCTTAAAACAAAACACACACAAAATCAAACAGGAAAATAGCCAGAGAGCTGTTCCTACAGCACTAGGCAAGCAGCAATGCAAAGACCAACAAGACCTAGTTTTGCCTGCTCAAAATGAAACAGGAAATAATATCTGTAGGCTGGAGGGAGCTGAATCCATTAAAACCCATGGAACAGATTATGTAGCTCCAAATGGTAAAATAGGCACAGCACATGCTTTTGTACATACCCACATAGGAAAGATGAAAAAGACATGCATCAGATCACAAGGAAAATTGTATGTACATGTTAGAGATACTACCACACAACTCCCAGAGTTGCTCACAGATCCTACACAGGTAAGTGGTGCATGCATCCACAATGGACAAGAAGGAAAAAAATACATGTGAATCCATGCACATGTACACATCCCAGAGACATTACCAAATAAATTGAAAAGGTGTGGACTGAATACACAATATGACCAGGATTTAACCTGATGTCTTTGGCCAAAAATTCCCCACCCCTACCACGACCTTTCGTAGAGAGTGCTGTGCCTGGGCTGTTTACTCCAGTCACTAAGATATGGCTGCATCATAGTTGTGTTGCATGTAGTTTTGAAGCACTTTGAGATGCTTCAGGATGAAAGCTCTAGATCAAGGGTTCTCAAACTTCATTGTACCGTGACCCCATTCTGATAACAAAAATTACTATATGACCTCAGGATGGGGGACCAAAGCCTGAGCTTGCCTGAGCCCTGCCATCTTGGGGGGAGGGAGGAGCTAAAGCCAAAGCTCAAGGACTTCAGCCCCAGGCGGGGGGCCTGTAACATGATCCCTACCACTCACGGCTGAAGCCCTCAGGCTTTGGCCCCTGGCAGGGGGGCTCCGGCTTTTGGCAGTGACCCTGGGCCCCGGGCTTCAGCTTTGGCTCTGGGCCATAGCAAGTCTAACACCAGCCCTGGCGACCCCATGAAAATGGGGTTGTGATCCACTTTGGGGTCCCGAGCCACAGTTTGAGAACCGCTGCTCTATATGAATATAAAATATCCTCAGGAGCACAGAAGAAGCACCAGTACCATAGGTGCAGCGATGTAGCTAGTTTTAGGTTTGCCTGATTCATATGGTGTAACTTCATTAAACAAACATGTACATTTTTCAAACAAAATTTAATAGCCCTATGGACTATGGGTATTACTCCAGGATCATCAACTACAGTGGATTTGTCCCAAGGCCTATATCTAAACTTGTCAGCTTCTAGTTTAAAAGACTGCAAGTATACAGCGAAAACAATATATTTTAAAAACCTAAGCACTATATATAGTAGTGTCCTTTTGGTACCAAAAAGAACCTTTTGACATTGTCAGGCCAATTGACTTCATGGGGGCTCCACACAGTGTAGGAGTCTGCCTGAATGGATCCAGTTTCAGGATCTGGCCTTACCGCTGAAAATAGTTGGTATGTAAGGGAAACAAATGCTAGGATATACCTCTAACTACCACAGTGCTAATGGTGCTGCTACAATATGCAGCAGTACTGCACTTATTCAAATGGAATGCAGGACATTAATTTACTTAATGTGTCACGGAGGGGGACACAAAAAAATGATGCATGTTGCAGGATGTACCTAAAAGTGGATAAAGGGGATTTTTGGAGAAGAAGCTTCTATTGGATGCAATGTATGGAAGTAATAAAATGTAACCTTGTGCCTCAAAGTGCTATTGTGAGAGAGAAGGATGACTATCGAGCAACTGCCACAATCTAACAAATGAACACAGCACTGTAAAAAATAATCACTTTTCAAATGCTATTATTATTGCTTAATGTATTTTTGTTTGCTTGGTTGTTAAGGGAGATGTGGAAAGTGACTAATGATACCCATGCCATAAGGGTTATACTGAAAGCTGGCAAAGGGTATATGTTCATTGGCCTGTCAGATTCCTACCCTTATCTGGTCTGATCAATAAATATATATTAGTTTTCCATAAAAGATAAGACACTCCCAATGTATTTTGCTCAGAATCCAAATGCCAGATGTGAAGATGTGACATAACTCAGTGGCCCTTTGCCATGTTCTCTGTTTTCACAGCCTGAATTTTTATAACTTGTCCAGAGTGTCAAAAGTAAAATGGACACAATTGTAAATAAAATTTTTTTCCCCTTCCTCCCTGGCTCAGTTTCAGTTTCACTTTCACTTACCAACATCTAACAAAGTGTTCAAAAGGTCCAGAGACCCTGAGGGCAGGTTGCTGCCTGGAGTACTGAGCTCCTCCCCGATCAGCTTTGTGCCCCCTTTGATGTTGTTCCCCAGACTTGGAACAGCATCCCACCTTTTGTCTAGGCACCACCCTCCTTCACATCCATAAAACCACTTCTATTAATCCTCCTGATATTGTCCCTTCCTTTCCCCACCTATGCTGTTGCCCTGTAGTTTTTTGTCTGTTACACTGTAAGCACTGCAGGGCAGGGACCTTGCCTTATTAGTTTTGTAAAGCACCCTGTACGTTTATGGTGCTGTAGAATTAATGCCACACACCCAACTTGGTTAAGGTGATCAGAATGTCCCTTCCTTCCTACCCCCTTATTCTCTGACAGCCACCGTCAACCCTGGGGAGGGGTTTTACTCAACGTGGAAAGCTCAGACCTCATTACTGCTTTGCCAGACAGCTCTTGGGAAATGTGATGAATGAGAAGAACACAAAGCTGCTGTGTTTAGGAGGATCATTCAAGTTATTCTGGCAAGGTGAAATTCACTTATTGGCAGAGGGCCAGCAGCAAGGCTATGCACCCATTAAGCATTATTTTGAAGATTTACGTGACGTTTAGGCCTTGTATAGACTGTCTGCACAGGACTGAATTTTACCTATTGGCAAAAGGAATCCAAGCAAACTAGAAATATCACTGCAAAAAAAAAATAGCACTTGAAAATAAATCCTGACTCTTGTATCTCAATCCCACTTTCCTCTCTGCACCTCTGATTGGGCCATATAGGGTTCCTAAATAATATGTCAGCATCACTCATGGTGAAAGAGGAAAGAGCAAGAGACTGGACGCAAGTACAGTGGCCCACACCTTGAGAAAATATAACCGAGACACAGAGAGAATCTCTGGACAACTTTATCTGACCAAATGCACCAGACCTGACAGCACTTAATTACCTCCTGCACCTGATCACTGCAGTTGTAATAGCTTTAACAGATCAGAGCTGATTTATCCTATTCTCCCAATAGCCTGATGACTTCATGCCAGTCCTACACCGAGTCCAAAACTACAGCACAATGGTATCAAGGC